GTTCTATCTCAAATAATCTGAATGAACTCATTTGCAAGCAAATTCCAATGAACATTTGCAATTTTTTCGCTGTGAAGCTATGAAAACCCGAATTGTTTGCGATTGTTTTTGCAGCACGAGTGCTACAACTATTCGCCAACTTTGTGAAGAACTCTCTCCTCGGCCCAAGCACCATATCAAAATAAGGAATTGGATTTTCAAATATGGAGTCGTCTGTAAGGCTTTCTTGACATTTTCCATTAAAATTAAAAACTTTGCTGGGCTGCATTAAGGCATGGCCCCAAACTGGATCGAATTCATCTACGGATTCATCGGCTGGTTATATGCAAATATAATCAAAGAGTATAATAAGATCAATAAGTGTGTTAGGGGCGATTTTAGATGACAAAGATTCCATGTACATATCAAATATTTAAGTGAATGGTATGTATGTGCCAAAATTCTGGCTATTTAAATAAGGGAAAATGCAGCTTTGCCTTTAGCTACCAACGCATACTGTGTAAATATTTGATATGAAAAGAAATTTTCAAAAAAAAATAAAAAATAACTATTCAACTTACATTCAATAAGTTGGTAATTGTCATCGAAAAAATCGATATTCGAATACCCATCTTCGTCCGAGTCGCTCTTCTGCATATGCAATTCATCGTTATCGCTATCGTTGTCATCTGTCGCTGCTTTCGTCGTCACCTCTGCAGCTGACGCTGCCACTACCTTTGCTATATTAGGAGGGGGCACTGTCGGGCTTGGCGCTGTCCCCTCATCGTTTTTTGTAGCACTACCACTATAAAGCGCAACTCGTTTGATTTTCGACCGCGGCAGCCGTACTGGACCAGCGGACGTTGTCGCTGCTGCTGATGTTGATGGTGTAGTAGTAACCGCAGTCGCGTGTGCGCCAACCGTGTAGCCAGCGACGTTGTATTTTGTCTGTTTTATATTGGCAGCTGGTACCATGGTTTCCAAGTTTGTTGGTGTATGCACCACGGTAGCCGCTGCAGTGCCCCTAGCTATTTCAAATGGTGGCGCGTCCCTTTCCAGCGTTATTTTAATTGCCTTGGAACTCGTTGGGATTCTTAGTTTTCTTTTAAAAGGCCCTGACATAGCGTTCACTTGTATGAAAAAAACAAAAAATCAATACTTTTGTTATTTCGTTTACCGAACCACTGCGATTGAGTTGGTAGTTGATCAGCAAAAATTGCAAAGTAAATGTATTAGCATTTCACATCAGCGAAATAGATAGCCTAACTTGGCATAGTACATGACAAAAAAGGGATAGAATGATTGTGTGTAGAGGAGCAGAAAATTATTTATTTTCACCTTGGCAAATCAAGTGACCAAAGGGGGATAGAATGATTGTGTGTAGAGGAGCAAAAAATTATTTATTTTCTGTTTATCTCTTTCTAGTTAGTCAACAAGTGTTTTCTGCATCTTTCGTACTTTAGAAAAGAATACCGAAGTTTTGTTGCGTTCATATAGATATCTCTGTCGTACGAAGCGTTTTTTTTTAATATACATACCTACTTCTACTCAAAGCATATTAATGTGCCTTGCTTCTTCTACTCAATTCATCTTGCTTCTACTATTTAAATTTTGAATTCAAAAGCAGCAAGCCATAAGCAACCCCTGTAGGAAATCCACCAGTGATAAACTGATGCGGCTCTATTGAAAATGGCTCATGCGTTTACGATGTGTGGAATGTGTTTGGACCTGCTAACTGGCGGTGATGGCTGGCGGTGATGTAATTTTTCAAAACTCATTTTTATGAAATGTAAATTTTCATTTCAATAGAAAATTAATATTCTAAGGGACATAGGCTTTAAAATTTATCGGACCTTTACACAAGTGTTCTAATAAAAAAATACAACTCGTTTTACGAAATGAAAATTACATTTTTAAAAGGAGTTCTTTGCATAATCCGGGCTACTGAACATTAAAAAAAAAAGCGTAACTCAGAAAAAACGTAGGTAACACGTTTTTCGATCGAAAGCTATTATTACAGTTAAATTAGGGTCGAATACTGGTAATCTGACGATTTTTCCGCAGTAGAAATTTTTTTCAATACTACATACAACAATACTACTTTTTTATGTACTACATCAACAAGAAAGTTATAACACATCAAAAACTTTAACGCCAATATCTCAGAAAGCAGTTTTAACAGAAGCGCCCTTATTGCATCTAACTCCTCAATTATTGAAGATAAAACAAAGACTAGTTGATTTTCCTGTGTGTTTTTTTTAAATATTTTGAATAGAATTTTAATAAAAAGCAAACACTTTGTTGATGGGTTAAACTTTTGGAAAAAAGTAGGCCAACCTTATTTTCAATATATAATTTATAATTTAACATAACGGTTGATAAGCTTATTGCAAAAATTTATTGATAGCGACATAAATTACCCCGATAACTTAACCTTTAAATTTTTTTATTTCTTTAAATTGAAATAGTACATACGGATTTGTAGAGTATATGGAGATGTATGTATATTAGGGTGCCCATCGAAAATCGTTTTTTTTTTTGTACGTTAGCACTACATATTTTCAAATTGTGTAAATTATCGATGGTCCAAATTTAAAAGATTCTTTGAAATTCAAGCAAAAATCGTAATTCGAAAACTCATGAATCTAGAAAATCGTATTTTCTGACCTAAATCGACAGGCCGCGACCTCTAAATGGCCTTTAAAAAATCTATAAAAATAGGCAATAATATTTCTCATAAAAACGAATCAAATTAGGGGGTAGGGTTTTTAAATTTTCAAAAAAAAGCATTTTCGATGGGAAACCTAATGTATGTATATACTATATAGACTTTCTTCTGTTCGCCCATCCATGAGCAGCAGTCACTCAACATTTGAATTCAATGAATAAATTAAATAGAATTATAATCTGATGACAAGATGAGATTAGAAACCTCATGGCTCATTGGAATCTACCTTATGGGCAGTAGCGCCGGCTTTTCCAGACGCGCCGATTATTTTTGAAGTTGACCACGCCGCCGCCGCAAAGCCTGTCGGCGTAAACCTCTAATATGTATGTATATTCATAGCCGTATTTTAGACAAAAATTATTTTATGTGTTTAGCATTTTCAACGAACTTTATGAAGAATGTTATCGAACGATCACGCTTAATGGCAACCTCTTATGTTTTAGTCTGTCATTGCTATCGTGCTATCAAAAAAAACATTAAAAAAATTTTAAGCCATTCACGCAAAGACCTATTCAGACAATATAAGATATTACCATTTCGATAATTACGAGTGACAGATTTCAAGTAGTTACAGTTTATTTCCAATGAGGAGCACATATTTTTCTCAACGCCTAATGCATTTTCCAATATTACGCTTACTACAAAAGGTACCCAAAGTGACGCGTCAAAATAGTTATTTTAATTACTTGGATTGTTCATAAAAATTAAAATGTCATTAATAAAATAAAATAAAAACTCAGTGCGTGCAGACCCTACGCGCGGAAGAAGCGAAACTTAATAGAGGTAATGTCGGAAAGAAAGAAATGTGCGATATACATACATATACATGTACATATTTTATTTAAAATATTTTTTAACGCCCTTTAATTTTTTATTTTTTATAACCAACTGCAAAGTTTAGTTATAATTTGTGCCTGAGAGAACATCCATATCTACAATATTAAATAGTAAATTATGGTAACTAAAGTAAAATATGAAATGTTTTATTTCAACATTATTAATATTTTTGGAAAAACCGCATCAATGGTAGCCGCCCCTTTGGTTGTTGGATCATTTTTTACCATTAACCATTTCCAATGAAACTTTTTTTTTGTCAGTTCATCAGACTTGGCCAGCGAAAATTTGACGATGAAATCTCCTGCGAGAATTACAGGTCGATCATAACAGTCTACTTATCATTATCTTCATCTTTATAATTCATATTCTTCATCTTCATTTCACCTTCATCCTCATCTTCATCTTTATTCAAAACCATTTTTTTGATACCCATATTGGTATAAATGCTTTATTTATTTTAACTGTGGCTCCGACACAGCTCGCAGGTCAAGACGAAGGCGCTGGACTGTTCCTTTTTTTATAAACGTAATGGCACGGGTATTTTAAACGTAGCATGCTGCATACTTCTTGTATTCATCGCGTTTCTATATACCAGCAATTGAAACAATGCACCTTTCCTAGGGAGTATAGATACTGAAATACCAGGTGTTATGTACATAAATCATAGTCTTTATTCCATGCAATGGGGCTGTCAACGCGTGGGGAGGTCAATTTTACTATTTATTTACATAAGATATTTTACATATTTTAAGTTATATATATACATATATATGTATGTACGTGTGCATAATTACATAGAGATGCATAAATGACCAAAAAGCGCAGACAATTAATTATTGTTTTTATTTTATTATATTCTAGGTGGGCAATGGTACGGCGTTGACATAACCAAGGAGCACATTGCTGATAACTATGAGCAATGCGTCTGGGAGCCATCGATCATAAAGATAAACGCTTTAACCGCTGCTGCCGAGGCTGCTTGCATGATACTGTCCGTCGATGAGACAATCAAGAGCCCCAAAGCAGGGGANCTTTTTAAAAATTTAAATACATATGTGAAAACCGCATAAAAAATCCATTACAAAAAAGCGGATGTTATAACACACCAACTGCTTCAAACAAAAAACTCTATATTGCATTCGGCCCTAATTGTATGTTGTCATGTGGTAACGGTATAACGTATTATGTACTCATGTTGGAAATAAACAATCCACTAGATAACACGCTTTTTCTTAATATTGATTGAACTTTTGTTTCAGTGAACTAATTCCATAAAATTTTTTTTTTTTTCATTGAATATAAAGTAAACACTTCCTAACATTTACTGTTAAACACAAAAGTATTTACATAGGTACGTAAAGCGCTTTAAATAAAAATGAAAATTTCAAAATAACAAAAATGCTTCTTAATTTCGCCTATAGCTGCCTTTACACGGGTCGATTTTTGTCGTTCTACCAAAATGTAAATGTAAAAATGTAAAGGCAGCTTACCTGCATATAGTAGCTTGTACTATGTATGTATACGCATTTTCAATTATAAGATTGGCAGCTGACTACAAATATACAACTTAGCAGGTGATAGTTTAAACTCGACGTAACCCAGCCAAATTGGGCGTTTAAACTAGGTTTAAATTTGACTGAAAAACTGCATGCTGGGTTTAAACCTAGCTTAAACAACAAACAGAGTTCAACTTGCACTGAAAAACGTGTCGTCAATATGGTACAACCAAACTCGCTATCTTCCATCCTTCCTAGCTAACTTTGTTGTTGCTTTCACATGCAAAATTGTTCGCTAAGCGAGCGGGAGAAGTGGCCAATCGATGACGGCTTGTCTCATTCTGCCTCAGCTTCCCAAACACGCGCGCCATGCACTCCCTTTTCCTGTCGCCTTCTCGTTTCATCGAAGTTTGGAGTTACAGCCCAACGAGTGCTTCTTTTAACACACACTCGAACATACATATGTATGTACACGTTTGCGATTGGGAATATACCCTGCCAAAATCGCGACTACTCCATGCATGCATGTAAAGAGTACTCCCGAAGAGCCAAGGAGTGCTTCAAAATTAACCACAGTGCATATAAAAATTGTGGTCTAATTAACCTTGCGATGTCCTAGAGCAGGACCATATACTCCATCTCTGCATTACATCAGAGGAGCACAAAACTACTCCCAACATATTTTTTCGTTTGTACACGCTTTTATTCTTCACTTGACAGATGTTTTTTTTTTCGCAATTAATAAAAACCAAAAACAAAAATAAAAAACTACACATGTTCCCTCTGCCGGCATTCGGATCCGAACCTGCTGGAAGCTAACAAATAACAGCGAGCACCTCTACACGTTCAGCTACAGCCAGACATGCAAATGTGCTTTCCAATGCTCAACTTCCATCACATTTCGTTAAAACGGGTGACAATAGGCTGGTACAAAGAGACGAGTTGGTCCGCTACAGCATGACCGAGGATCACTTTCGTAAGTACTCCAATATACCACAAATAGACTACATGGTCCAACGATTTTTGCACGGGTTGGATAAGGTAAATTTCTGCGACGCAATAACCAAAAACATGGTTCCATCACAACCCGCATTTTTTGCGGTGCTCATGCATATATGTACATATGTACGTAGGTATGTGCGCAGCCATGCAAACAAATGTATGTATATATATATATTAGGGTGGTCCAAAATAAGTAAAGTCGGAATGTTAATGCTCTGACCCCCTAGGATTGTTCAATATCGAAAAAAATATAGGCCCCTATTTTTTTTATCTTGAAATCAAAAAATATTTTGAGGTCGCTGAAAGCGCCCAAACTTTTCTATGTATTTTATATGGGAAATAAACAACTTCTCGCAGAAATGGTATGGAATTCTTGAAAATCAATATTTTTCGATCGGACCAGAGCCTGGTTGTCTTCCAGTGACTTCCAATAACAATACCCAGTTCTTTATTTAACCAATTTTTAATACTAAATATTTTTCATTTACCCCCCAATTGCATTTTTTGTGTGTTTTGGCGGACCTATAAAATATAGTCACTATGAAAATGGTTAAATAAATAACTGGGCATTATTATTGGGAATCTTCCGAAGAGAGTTTTC